TTTTTTTTTTTTTTTAATTATCCTACATCAATTACTGAACTATTGAATATGATGTTAATCTTATCTGTCTCTCTAAGTATTTCTTGGAATATTACCATCTAATTTCTCCATGCACTCTTTTCTAACTTAGGTTATTAAAATTTTTATTTCTTAAGAGACAAATTGACATTACGATCTGTAATAACATTATAAAACAAAAACATAACTCCATCAAAATTACATGCTATATTTGAATGCGTGCTTTCCTTACCACGTAATTTATAATTACATATGCTGCATTTTCAAAAATTTTACAATTTTATTGGTTAAAATTCTATATCGTATTGCGCATGCAGATAACCCAAATATGTATAATCAACCTAGTAGAATCGTGATGGCAACACAAAGACGAGATTGTTAAAAGTGACCAGAATTGCCACTGTCTCTGAGAGATGAATTTTGTCTGTTGTTTTGACATCATTTGCCTTTGAAAGAGAGACGAGAGATATGTGACCAGAATACAGCCTCTGATCTTTCTGAGGTATATTTCTTTATGTGGATATGTTTCTGTTAATGAAGTTTTATTACTTGTGATGACAAAATAAAATGATGTAATTTTTAATGTAGATAGTTGCACCAAAAACACTTAACTTGATAAACTAAAAACCAGCAAAAAGTGCCACTTTCTTGAAGAGCAAGAGTCTTCATCCATTTTAAACGGATATCGTCAAGCTAAAGTTCAAAATAGAACTGCATGATTTTTGAAAGATCCAGTTTATTTGAGTTTAAAATGGATGTGAAAAGATTTGCTTTCCAAGTTAGTTGCACATTTTGTTGGTGTTTAAGCTGTTGAATTTGGTGTTATTAGTGTGATATTAACCAGTATTTAGCATTCATTCTGTAAATAGTTATTATTAGTATTTAAATGAAAATTGCATACAAGAATTAAAGGCTTAAGTTCATTTTTAAATAACGATTAAGATAGAGGACGTGGTTGCTGTATCATCAAATGCAGTGTGTAGCGTCTGTGTAATCCAAAAGGAGTTGGTAGACGAACGGACAGCAATTGGTTAGAAAATGTACGTTTTATTTAAAAAATTCCTAATTCATATGCATTTCGGGTTGGCTTAAATTCCCAACCCCTCTTCAGTGCTGTTAAGATTACACAAAAAAATATAATTTAAGGTTAGTTTTACGGTATTGGTTAGTAGGAACATAACTAAAAACGCGAGGTGATGATAACATAAAATTGCTTACTTGACATATAATGGTACAGCATAGATGTATTTTACAAAATTTTTTGATTACATAGTAGTATGGCATAGCCTATGATATGAAAAAAGTGGTATAAGGGGGAGGCTGTTTAACATATCATTTTTATGACGAACTGTATAACATAGAATATTAATTTAAAAAATATCAATGCACACTTACATTTTAGTTAGAATGTATTATTTCCGAATACAAAAAGGAACATAGTACAAAACATTTTTAACAACTGGTCTTATCCGTTGTTCGCTTAGTAACAGAATACCGACAAGTAATGTTATATAAACAGTTACCCACATTCCGTACACGGGGGTTGTGATTTAAACAATCTTTAACGCGTGGAGGCGTTCTCTATGAGTTTGTACCATTGGGGGTCTATGGACATGCCTTCTGAAACATTAATTAAGTTTTCTTTAGGGTGTTTTTTGATTTCTATGTGTTCTTTAAATTTTCTTTTATATGTGTCTTTTTCTACATGTAACACTTTTGTATTGTTTTTATTAATTTGGCAATTATAGTCTATTGTGTGGTAGTACCAGGGGGAAGTGTTATGTTTTAGGCGGATGGCTGCCATATGTTCTTTAATTCTGGTTTCTAGTGACCGGCCTGTTTCACCAATATAAGTTTTTGGATTTTGACAGTTGCATTCAAGTTTGTAAACAGTTCCTATAGTTTTAAGGGCGTTTAGTTTGTTGTTATGTTGTTTATTAATGTCATAATGGATACTATGAGATATTTTGTTGGTCAAAGATGGAGCCAAACTGATATTGTCTTTTTTTAATGACTTATTACAGCCTTCAAAAATGTTTTTTATATATGGGAAGGTTTTGTATTTTTTGTCGGATTTATATTTTGTGTTAAATCTATTTTCCCAGTATTGCTTTTGCCATGTGTTTAATTTCGATTTAGGATAGTCGTTAAGTAAAAATTATTCACAACAAGTTATTCTCATACCCAACACCCAAGGAAAAAAACGCTTGGGCCAATAAGTTAATCATAAATAACTCCAAAGTACCAATACCCAAATTTGTAAGACATCTCCTAGCATTAGGAATAGAATATAACTTGCCCATCGATAATATAACAACAAACATAATAGCCGATATTGACAAAAGCGTAAAAGACTTAACTATTAAAAAAGAAGAAAAAGGAAATTTACTTACAACGATCATCCAAAATCTAATGCATCCAAAACAAAACAATAAACACAGAATCAACAAATATAAAATTTTTTTAAATAATACAATAAATTTCCTTAAAACGAATAATCTCTCAATAATTAAAGCAGACAAAACTGACCAACTGATAATCATTGACAATAATAATTTACAACAGAAGACTATAGAGCAGATTAATAACATAAATTATATTAAATTAAACAATAACCCATACGAAGATATTAAAAAGGAACTAATTAATTTGGTCAAAAACATATACGCAAATAATAATTTAAGTGAAAACAATAAAAATTATATCCTTAATTTCAAAAACAACAGAACACCCAAACTAAACATAAGATTAAAAACCCACAAAAATGAAGAAAAATTCAGACCTTTAGTAGACTTCAAATTTTCCATACTTTACAACTTAGAACAATATATCAAGCAACAATTAACAAGCATCGATCTGTCTAAATACACCGTAAAAAACGCGGATGATGTTATAAATAGGTTACTGAAAATACAGAAAAGTAACACTGACACACTAATCAGCCTAGATGTCAAAAATATGTACCCAAATATAAAATGGAAATTAATAGAGGAAAGCCTAACCATGTTAAATGTAGATAAAACTTTAATTAATCTAATACACTTCGCATACACCAGAAACTATTTTCAAGCCAATACTAACTTCTATAGACAGGTAGATGGCATCAGTATGGGATCAAAGATGGGACCCAAATTAGCCGAATTAGCTATGATAAACATAGATGAAAAAATAAATAATATCCCAGGCATAAAACTTGTAATGAGATACGCAGACGACTACTTAATAATATACAATAATAGAATAACAAACGATAATACTATTCTGAACACTGCTAACAAATTTAACGAAAATATTCAATTCGATATTGAAATAGAAAACAATAAAAAAATTAATTTCCTCGACATAACAATCATGAATACACTTAATAATTTCTCTTTCATCACATACAAAAAACCATGTAACGTTAATAAAACTATCAACTACTACTCACATGTCCCAGAATATATAAAAAGGAATATTTATACCATGGAGTTAAAAAACATATATACCAGAATATCTGATAACAAATGGCAAAAAATAAAAATAAAAGAGCTTGAAACTAAATTTTTACTTAACGACTATCCTAAATCGAAATTAAACACATGGCAAAAGCAATACTGGGAAAATAGATTTAACACAAAATATAAATCCGACAAAAAATACAAAACCTTCCCATATATAAAAAACATTTTTGAAGGCTGTAATAAGTCATTAAAAAAAGACAATATCAGTTTGGCTCCATCTTTGACCAACAAAATATCTCATAGTATCCATTATGACATTAATAAACAACATAACAACAAACTAAACGCCCTTAAAACTATAGGAACTGTTTACAAACTTGAATGCAACTGTCAAAATCCAAAAACTTATATTGGTGAAACAGGCCGGTCACTAGAAACCAGAATTAAAGAACATATGGCAGCCATCCGCCTAAAACATAACACTTCCCCCTGGTACTACCACACAATAGACTATAATTGCCAAATTAATAAAAACAATACAAAAGTGTTACATGTAGAAAAAGACACATATAAAAGAAAATTTAAAGAACACATAGAAATCAAAAAACACCCTAAAGAAAACTTAATTAATGTTTCAGAAGGCATGTCCATAGACCCCCAATGGTACAAACTCATAGAGAACGCCTCCACGCGTTAAAGATTGTTTAAATCACAACCCCCGTGTACGGAATGTGGGTAACTGTTTATATAACATTACTTGTCGGTATTCTGTTACTAAGCGAACAACGGATAAGACCAGTTGTTAAAAATGTTTTGTACTATGTTCCTTTTTGTATTCGGAAATAATACATTCTAACTAAAATGTAAGTGTGCATTGATATTTTTTAAATTAATATTCTATGTTATACAGTTCGTCATAAAAATGATATGTTAAACAGCCTCCCCCTTATACCACTTTTTTCATATCATAGGCTATGCCATACTACTATGTAATCAAAAAATTTTGTAAAATACATCTATGCTGTACCATTATATGTCAAGTAAGCAATTTTATGTTATCATCACCTCGCGTTTTTAGTTATGTTCCTACTAACCAATACCGTAAAACTAACCTTAAATTATATTTTTTTGTGTAATCTTAACAGCACTGAAGAGGGGTTGGAAATTTAAGCCAACCCGAAATGCATATGAATTAGGAATTTTTTAAATAAAACGTACGTTTTCTAACCAATTGCTGTTCGTTCGTCTACCAACTCGTTTTGGATTACACAGACGCTACACACTGCAACGATTAAGATGTATTGGAAATTGAACCTAATATCTTGAAAACATGATACACAGATAAATCACAGTTAAGTATTCTAAATGTATAGAAATGTTTAATGAAATGTATTCATATGATGCTTTAAGTTTCCCACAGTTTACTTCAAATAATTAAGATTTAGTGTATTTTCTTTTGTCATTTAATTGGAAATGAACATTTTCTATGTGATCGAATTTTATTATGTATTGAAAAACATTATTTATTATGATTTTTATTTGTTGCCACTTTTTTTTTACAAAAGGACTTCTCTATCATATGACGTTGTTTTTGTTAGTCCTGAGCAGATGATTATCTAATCATGTATTTCTCAAGTAGTGTCCATTGACTAGTGATGGTCTGTAGACTGATTTAGTCATTTTCCCAAAATGCAATTCTATGCTGTTTAGCAAAAAAAAGTAACACTTTCACACATTACATATTTTCTTATTAAATTACATGATAGACAAAATATTTTGATGCACAATCTGTCATTATCTAAGATGGTATTTACAAGGTAAGAAATGGATGAGAACGTCAGTGGTTTACACTTCATCTGTGATTTGGTAGCTTCAAGAACATGTGCTCCATTCCATTGATTTTTCTGACCAGAGAACATAGTTATATTTTCTATTTTATTTGCAGATCCTGTTCTATTGAGTGAAGCTTACTGATTGGTTTATATTAAATAAAAATATTAAATATATGCTTGTTGGATTGGATTGTAGTTGCAATATATTAGATACAGTAGAACCTCGAAAACTCGGCTCTCGATAACCCGGCACTCCGGATAACTCGACCACACCCTGGCAGGGCAAAAAAATCCTTAGTTAATTAATTTTCATTATAGACAGCTTTATAAAAGTATAAAAGCTCTCATAAAGTATTTTTCTGAGGTCTGTCTTATCAGGTAAATTACTGTACACAGTGTATTCATTAATTTTCATTTTCATGTAGTAAAGTACGTAGCCTTCATAAAGTACGTAGTTTTCCTTTGTTTAAGGGTATTTGGGCAGTTTATTCTCTGTTATATTCTCAAGTAAACAATACATACAAGTACAGTACAGTATTTTCTGAGGAAACACTCGTACTTATTTTTTTTAACCCCATTCCCGATAACCCGGCATTTTCACAAACTCGGCCACCCTTCGGTCCACATTAGGCCGAGTTTTCGAGGTTCTACTGTATAAAGAAAATCAATAGGCTTTCAGCATGGAGGTCAGTTTGTCTCTTGCTATAGTAATGTGGATTGGTCGCATCTTAGTTATTCAGTTAGTTTGAAGTATAATCTAATTGATATTTACAATACTTAATTAAAATCATATGTATAATTTAATAATTATAGTTAGAGACAAAATAATTTTTACTTTTTGTTTGATGTAATTTCGTAGATTTCATAAGAAATTCAGCCTCTCCTTGACACCGGGAGTGAAATAGTATATTCAGAACCTGTTACCGGTGTAATTTGAGTGAAAAAAATCTCCCTTTTTCTAACACACCATCTGATTGAGTAACATCAATGCTCGCAATATGCACCCGCTACACATATGAAGGCTAGCACCAACCTGGAAGATTGTTTACATCTCCCAGTCACCTTTAACCCATATGTTAAAGCAATATATGCTGAGATTGTCGGAAAACATCAGTTACAAATAGCCTATAGAAGATGCCCCACAATCTTTGAGATCCTCAGAAATGTAAAGGACTATCCAGTTCATAGCAGACTTTCCGGTGTGTACTCCATACCACTCAAGGATAACAGATGTGATGAGAGCCTCATATACATCAGTTCAACCAAGTGCTCTTTGGCTACCAGAATACGTGAACATTAAGCAGACCTTCAACACAGGCGATAGATACACCATGGCCCTGGCCACATTTGCGTCTGATCCCGATATTGAGCCAGAATTCAACAAGGCTGACGTCATTGACTCTACACCCCACCTAGAACATCTAAAATGGCTAGAAGCCATATCCATCTACAAAGCTAACCGCATGACCACATGTATAAATCGAAAAGATGAGCTTAATCTTTCTCTAGCATGGCAGGCCCTTATAAACGGTGATCTTTAAATACCAACTTTCATGCACCAATGCACAATCCTGTTTCAATGAGTTCCGTTATGCGAGTATTCGGTTTTTTGTTTGAATATCCATGTTCCATTTTTCGAAGTGTTCCAATGGAATTTCTTTACCTGAAGAAGAACTATCTCTAAAGTTCGAAAACATTTGTGAAAGGGAGATTTTTTCACACAAATTATACCGGTAACAGGTTCCGAATTTAGTATTCTTAGATTTCTATGCATTTTCAATATATTTATAAACTGTAGCAATATATTATATTGCTATTATTATTCTGTGTCATGTTGCTATTTTAGTTGATCATAAAAATTAATATTTTGTTTGTATATCTTATATAATTGTTTAGTAATAATTTCATTTTGCAGGTGAAATTATAAAGGTCAACACAAGTCGTCTGTTGTTGTGTGAAGCAACAGCAGCCATAATGTCTACGGGATTTCAAATTCTAGGAATAAGAACTGTTGAGAAAATGTAACATCTACTTAAATTTATTTATCATATTTTTGAAGAAATGTCTATGAATTTATATTAAATAAATTCTAATATTAAACAGTTTTATTAAGGTAAAATAGTTTGCTGTTTTTTATTTATTGTGTATTAGAAAAACGTGTATGCAAGTTTTATGTATTTAATGTTTTTCTAAATAATGCTTTTGGTTGTATTCATAAAAGAAATATGATTTCTTTTTTACTTTTAATATGAGAACTTTAATCTAAAGCAAACTGTAACATATTCTGCTGTTAGATACATTAATTACAATTTAATACAGTGCAGTGTCAAGTATAAGAAACTTATCTGATGGATTTTTTAAAAATAAGTTTTCTAATTTATAAACAAAATAAAAAAATATTAATGTGATCATAAAAATCATTAATATTGTGCTTTTTTTTACTGTATTCTGATTATACTGTGCAGGTTAAGAGACTCATAAAACAGACTGGTCACGCTTTGGTTGCTAGTTTATTGACACTTACATTTTGACTTAATAGCAGTAGTATATTTTGACTGTTTGGTCCTCTTTGGTTGGCCATAAGAACAATGTAATTATTGCTAAAAACAAAAAGATTTAACAAGTATTATTAGAATGCAATTATTGTCAAAATAATAGATTTAACATAATGATAGTGACATGGTTTGACTTTAAATAATAACAAAATAGTAGTTATACTTATATAAAAACACTGATAAAAATCATTAGAAAACACTTATTTAAATTAATATATTAAAATATTTTATTGTATAAATGTATATACAGGTATTATGTTGAAAAGCAATTAAATTGAGAGAAGATGCAATGTTTAAACAGTATAAAATCATTTTTTATACAGATACATTGTATATAGACTGTACAGAAGTAAAATTTGAACTGAGAGGTTTTGAATCATTAATGATCTCCAATCCTGCTGATTGCTGTCTCTGGATCATACTGCTGATTTTCTAATTAAAAATATTGAAAAGCAATGAGTAAAATGAAGGTAAAAAAGGATTTTTGATGGAAGAAAGAGCAAACTTTTTTTCTCTCTCTCTCTCTCTCTGTCATTTCCAGATTACCGATATGTGTGTATTTATTTTCATCTTATTTTAATAGATTAAGTATGATAAATGTAATTCTTTTTACATCTGTTAAAGAAGTATTTACTGTATACCAGCATCCCTTGATGCAATACATGCATTAATGCAAGCAGCAATATGCTCATTAAATAGTCTACAACAGGGTTGTCCAACCTTTTTGTTTCTCTTGGCCGCATTGGAAGAAGTCAAGGAGTTTTGGGGCACAAGTATATATAATATATACTTGTGGCCCAATATACAAGTATATTTAAGGATTAACATGTCTAGATTATAATAATAAGTATTAAAACTTTATCACAAAACAGGATATTTTAAAAAATTACTTCTATAGACACTTTTAATTTTTACTTATAAATAGATAAATTCATTTATTTGGTTTATTTGAGTCTCTGATTAATAAAAAGCGACGAAACACCATTTTAAAGTGCATTTTTATTCAACTAATATATTTATAAATGATATGTTAAACGATAACGAAAGTGAGAAAGGTTGGAAAATTAAGACTCAATATTTGCCTAACAGAACTATTTAACCTTTCTGACAACTTTTTATCTTTCGTCTTTTCTCTCCTTTCACCAAATTTGGGTCTATAATCCTTTGAGTCACAACTTCAGCTTTATTTAGTAATCCTTCCTCATTCACACATCTCCAAGTACATAAAAATATTTCATTTCCACTCAAAACTAAAATATGAATAAAGGTTTATGGCTTTTGAAATTTATTTTCTGAGTTTATGCCGTTGAAATAAATAATAAAAAATTAAAACATTTGTCGGTTTTGTTTAAACCTTTATCGGGCCGCATTGGAACTTGCCTTGGGCCGCATGCAGGCCGCGGGTTGGACACCCCTGGTCTACAACATCTGATATGTTTATTCATGCTGTTTCAACTTACATTTATGAATTGTTTAAAATCGCCTACGGTGAGAAATATCTTCAGTATCTTCCAGTTAGATCTGGAACATGATTGGAAGACACATTACAGATTAAAGACATCACCAAGAGAGGATTTCTACAATATAGTGCCTTTTTAATATGGAAATCCTCTCTGAAGACAATATGCAAACAGTTCAATCGTGTGGATTATTGAATTCTTGTGGTACTGTTAATGGATGCTATTCAAGGAAGAGAACATACGATGTGAGGATCTCATCAATACACCCACAACAGTCAGTAAACTGTAACTAGAGGTGTTCTATTGTTATGTTGAATTATATTTATAAAATCTCTTGGCATTCGTTTGTCCTGAATGCTACTGTACAAAAGAAGTGTTTGCTCTTTCTGCTGAAAGGTACCAAATGTTTCTGCAATCACTGCTTCCAAAGTTAAATATGTATTCGTCATTAAATGCTATGGAATTGAAACACTAGTTATATTCCTGCACTATTCAATTTCAGAGTTCTTTCACATGCATTCGAAAGATAATGAGTAGTCTATGCAAATAGACATGTACTCACAGTAGAAATTGATATTGGTCTATCAATGGCATTAGTTGTAATATCTTTAATTTGCCATGCAATAGCTGTTCCTGTTAACAGAGTATTTCTAATGATCAGTCTGCCATTTCTTGTAATGGTAATTTTGGGAGTTCCTAGGACAGACCTGTGTTCATATTTACCATATCTTTAAATTTTTGAAACAACTCAAGCAATACAACTAGTTGGGATGAAAATGTTTCTGGTTATCATTCCTGAATGATGTATACCAAGGATTTTGATCTTTACCAAACTCAAATGAGCAAAATTTTTGGAAATTATTTTTTCAATATAAATTTTAAAAATCATTCTCGCATGCACTAAAATGGCACAGTTCACAAAACACTGCACACTAGTAATTGGACATAGGTTTGCTCCTTGCTAATGGTCTGGTTTCACAGAGTTTTCCGGGTTATCTTTAGGTTTGTAACACGTGAATAGGGATTAATTTCCTTTAGTCGTCCCGTGAGGAATTTCCCTTCACGGATTGCCAACGTATCTAGTTTCCGTGAACAAATAAACCAAACCGAAATACGAGCACGCAAAAACGTGCTCTATCTGGAATACTTAAAGATTTAAACATGCTAGATCTATACTTGTAAGTGTTACTTCTGATACAAGTGCATCTGATCAAGTGTATCAAGGTAGGAATATGTATTTTGAGCTGGTGTAGAAAAATTTGAGCTGTTTCCAAAAACTTTACAGCCCACCAGTGACCGAATGAATAATAATACCGAACTATTTTAGTTTGTTGTGGGTTCGTGCCTGAAACAGACTGGCTGCAGTGGGGTAACAGCGAAATAGAGGCCGGTTTCCCATATAAAGCTCGTACAAGAGAGGTGTTCCCTCAGACGATCATCTGTTCTGATAGATTCCGCACCACTGCTCTAGACAACCATTTTCATTTGCCACCCACCATTTTGTGTAAAATTTTCTCGCGACCCACGATTTGCGCACCACTAGTCTAGAGCATCCAGGGCCTGCCCGCTATGTACCCGAATCCTTCACTGTTTCAACAGAATGGGCAATTGGATGGCCATTGTCTTCCTTCGTCTTAATGATACTTCGCATGTTTGTAGGATCAATTAATCTTTCGATAAAATGAATACTTCTATAATTTATGAGAAATATTTAAGATGTGTGAACTCATATAGACATAAATAATTAAGATTTATTACGAGTCTGATGTATACAGATAATATAGTGTATGTGATCATTATTAAAGAGCAGATGTTAAGAGCTGCGTAGAAAAAATAATTGGCAATTCGGTTCAGGCTGTCCAGGGAATGCAGTTATTTCTTAACAGAAAATCGCTCTATTCCGAAGAATTTTCCCGGTTATTATGCTGGTTTCAATTTTATTCGGGTTCTGTTTTGGACAGGGTTTTCTGTATGTAACCATGTACCACCAGTGGCTCAAGTAGTCTTCGTTCCCTGGACACGGAGTTCCGTTCGTGAGTTTTCATGACCTACCCTGTGTACCAAATTTTAACTTTGAATTCCTAACCATTTGGGCTGCTCTGCGCTTATTATTATCAACCCATCTCGATTATAAGATTTTATTACTGGTTTTTGATAAAATTATTATTGTGCGATATAATTGTGACCTTCCGGGTCGGCACCTCGTTAGTGCCCAGTCAGGATTGACACCACCGTGTTTAGAGGAACACGGAAGCCGAGACGGCGATTTCGTCGTCCGTCGCGCGAGCGGTCCCGTACGCGAACAGTCGGATTAGACAGGTCAGAGTTAACATAGGGAAGAGACTCGAACTACCCTTAACAATCAACAAAGGGTTTATTAAAAATTTAAATGGAATAAAGTGTGGTCGCGGAGAGAGAGAGTTTACATACGGTTCGCGTGGCGATAAATACCTGACAGGTTATCTTATGGATCGAGGTCTTCAAACCGCTGTTGACGATGTCACTTCCAAGTTCTGGGTTATCCAAATAGGCACTTAAGTTCGTTGTTACGGTATAATCCAAATAGGCACTTAAGTTCGTTGTTACGGAATAATCCAAATAGGAGGTATTGAACGGGTCAGGTGGATGCTTCTTTTAGAGGAACGGCAGCGACTGTGTCGAAAAACCTCCGATTGTCGCTATGTTCATTTGACAGTTTAGCAATAATAGGTCAGAAGGTTATGTGAAAGCTTTTTTTCGCGACTGAGAACTGGCTGAGTAATTAACTCCCAGGTGTGAAATTTGATACTTTCTAGATAAACTTATTATTGTTCACGAGTTAGGTCAGGCGGTAGGTTAATAAACACGGCTGAATCTCACATAATTATTTGTTTCTATTGTTTAGTAATATTCTTTGCAAATAAATGCGATAGGTAAGAAATGACTGTTTATGTGCAAAATTACAGGAAAGTCGGAGCCAGTTAGAACAATTGGAAGCACGGGGTAATTGCTTACATGTTAAATATGAAGCGCTACCGGTATATTCATGCAGTAGTGACATTAAAACACTTTCTGTTTATATGGGAATAAATGGTTCTATCATTTCGGAACAAACAGTATTTGCGAAAAATCATGTCTAGTCTTCGCGTGGATGCT